GACAATAAGAAAGTGACGATGCTGCAGCAGCTGTGGCTTGCATGCGCAGATTTCACCATTGCGGACAAAGGAGGAAAGACTGCCCTAGAGTTGGCGGCAGACTCGAGCTCAGAGGTGTGGAAGTTTTGCACAACGCATTGCATCCCCTCTACCTGAGGCGCGCGCAGAGCCTTAAGAACCTCAGTTTGTTTCAACGGCGAGCAAGGGCATCCAGACCGACGGAGCTTTTGCACATCTTCGGCCCCTGGACCCCAAGCACTCGCACGGATGGCCCCACGTTTAAGGAGCTCGGAGGGGAGTAGTTTCAGCAATTCGCTCCGGACGACAAGTTCGAGAGCTTCGAAGCCATCCGAGCCGCATTGATAGGTAGTGCCGCCGACCCCAACAGACCTACGGACCAAGGAATTTACCTAGCGCGCCAATGTACAAAAGCGTCCTCCTTTGATCATGCTTCAAGAGATCGCTGGCTCCTGCCTCATGCAAGCAACTACGAGTAGCACTGGCACTCGCATCCCATCTCTCGACCCATCAGAAGTAAAGGCTGCATTTAAGGAAAGCAATTTGGGGGCTTCCGGTAATAGCTGACCCTAAAAAGGAACCCTAAATAGTAGGGATCCTTATTACAAGGACCCCAAAATAAGGTACCCCCCCAATTTTCGGAACCTCCCCATTTTGAGGGAGCACTCCTTGTTTCCAGGCTTGGAAGGCTACGGCCTGCAGTTTCAATCGACAGGGTGGAAAGGCACCCTGTGCTTTTCCCAAAGGGCCCAAGTACTAGCATCGTATATACTTTTGGGGCCCAAATACCTACTAAGTACCTACTATAATGGTACTTGGACCCTTTGGGTTTGAGGGAGGTGAAGTTCTGTGTTACGTCAGGCTGCAGTAATGTACATGGTGCCTGTGCACCCCTGCAGCCAGACTTTATTGTGCATTCCGGTCCTCGCACGGTGCACCGAAGATGTTCCGCCATTTTTGTTGGCCTAATCGACGAAGTGTCCGGGACGCTTCGAACAGGACAATCCTGTACAGGAGATGCTCGGCGCACCCGGCTGCTGGACTAGTGATGCAGGAATTGCCGTGATTCGGAATGCAAACGGACGCGCCTACCACCCCGATAATGCAGCTGAAAGCTCAGCGTAGTATGTACAGTCTTCCATAACAGCACTCTTATTGCTTCTTGACCCCTGCCTTCTACTCTTGCCTTAGCAAAGTTTGCGCCTTAAGGCCTGGTCCGAGTCTTTGAAGGGCATCGTGCACGATCTGACGGGCATGGAGATCGCCAGGACGGGGAAAACTCAGAATGTCAGCATTCGAGAGTCTTATGCTGAGAAGGTTTGTTTGGTGTGCGAGGGGTTGGGTTTGGAGGCTCCAGCTGAGTTTCCTTTCAACCTGTCGATGATCGCTGGCCTAAAGCTGTTGGTGTTCTCCATGCGTGCAGCTTGCAGCGATGCGCTTGGGCTTCTCACCTGTAAGGCCGGCACAGTTCCTCGCAAGTTGGGTGTTTACATGCAGAAGTACAGACGGGTATGAACATGGTACTGCAGATGTGTACACATCGCGACCGTGCACACATAGACGTAAAGCTGTACCATGCATGTCTTACATTTAGACATTTTGAGTCTTACGAAGCACTGTGCGGCTTTTGCCCATCTGTGCACCTTCAGGCAGCGCTTCTTCTGGAGGAATGTGCCGATGAACAGCCGCGGCCTCGGAAACAGCGCTCCGGATTCTAAAGGCTCCTGTCGAGTGCATTTCCGATTCGATCTCCTGGACGGGGGTCGTAGGTCCCAAAGCAGCACGCCCTTTTCACTCAGTTCCAGAAATTGGAAACCAGCTGAAAGCTTGCGCCCTGCTTGGACAGACGACAACCTTACGCTGCGGTCTTGGGGGGCCCGGAGCTCGGCAATATCCTCGTTATCCTTGTTGAGCTTTGCTCGTGCTCTCGGGCAGAGGTGGTCAGGGTTGGAGTGATAGGGTTCAAGGAGCCAGTTTTCGACAAGCACTGCCGCCATGCGGGTGCCTGTTGATTTCCGGAGGCGTTCTTTATTATTATGTGTGCGTGTTTTGTTCTTCTTTCTGCTGAGGCTCCCCAACACTCACCATTCCAAACATGCGGGTTTCTTCCGTCCAAGGATGGTGCCTTTCCGCTACGGTTCAGGGGGCGGTAAACATGACATAGATGAATGAGTAATGGTACAATTACAGCCAGATTTGTCCATATGACTGTCGTCGTTGCGTTGTTTGACATCACAGGTCAAAGACGGGGACGGGTACAGCTGACTCGTTTGTCTGGATAAATCCAGGACAGGAAGCCGGCCATGCCTTGAGGATCCTGGTGTATTTAGCTTCATGGTTGCAAAGGCCCGCGAGGGATGCAATCACGCAGGGCTGCTGTCGAAGGAAGATTTTCAATTGCCACAACAACGACAACATAAGCTGCACCAGGAAGGAGAGTAGCACCTACCATGTGCGAGCTCTTGCCAGGCTGCAGTTGCGCTTTCAAGCTAAGATTTCGCCACAGCAGCTGGATGTGATGCGGAAGGTGGGGTGTAGGGTCTTCTGGGCACGCGCCTGCTGCAACTTCTCTTGTGCAGGCTTGCCAAGCGGCGACGGCATCGGCTGGTGATGTGGAGAGGCCCAGAATGGAGTAGAAACCATGTTTGAAAAGGGTTCCATCCCTTCGGAAGAACAGTCCAAAGAGGCCAGTGAATCTTTGTGTTTTACGTTTTGTATGGACTTTGTGTTGGAATTCCTGTAGGCGACGTAGTTTATAACAGCCCCACGTGTCGTCACTCTGTCATGAGCAATCATGGTGGTGTAGGGGTGCTATGGCTGCTATGGAGCTCCGTCGCTGTGAGGTCGATCGCTTCAATGATGGATCCTTCCTTGCCTGTGAAGGCTGATGCCCAGCTGCAGATGGGAGATGGGAGCAGAAAGGGAGCCTACCTACCTCATCTGGCCGAGAGCTGAGGAGATGGAGTCGTCGACTTCCTCCGACTTCTTCAAGCCAAACCGCAGGCCTGGAGCAAGAGGGAACCGAAAGGATATATCCTTCAGCGACTCCTAGCGTCAGAATCCTCCGGTGATGCATGGCGCAGTAGGATCCAAGAGCTTCTGCTCCGACACCTGCGTCTGCGTAGACCCCGATCCGACCCTGCGACCCTCCGCCCGTCAGGCAAGAAGAGGCCTCGAAGCGCTGGCCTTGGCTGTGCTGGCACCGACAGGTTCGGATGGCTGCGAGCCTGTAAGGCCTGCGCCGAAGCGAAAGAAGCCCGAGAAGATGCAAGGAGCCTAACTGGGAAGTTGTCCGATGCAGCCTCTAAGCAGGGCGATGGGAATGCCGGAATGCCCAATGACGGACTTCTTGATGCGAATATGAACGAAGCTTGTTGAGACATTGAAAGAGCACTGATTGAGCCAATGTCGGAATCGTGTTGTGTCGGGGGAGAGTGGGGCTTTGTTCTGAGGGAATCGGAGGAGTCGGTGTTTTGACGACTTCCGCCTTCGAGGCTCAAAGAAGAGGCGACCAGCGCGAACCTCCGAAACAGCAGGCGCCTTTTGCCTTTGTGCTTGCCGCAAGGGGGGGAGCGGTCTGCGACCCCGTTCAGGGTTGCATATATAAAGCTTCAAAAATCAATTATTCCCCACAGAAGTCTACTATTCCCCAAAGACCAAACCCAGCTCTCCTGAGACTCTTTGGCGGCCCTTTTGAGGCATCTGAAGCGCTGTTCCTCGAAGGGGGATGTCTGGATGATGCCTCGCTGGATCTCGCCCCTCGGCCCCCCTCGGCAATAAGGGCTCTTGGCAATAAGGTCGTAACACTTTGGACGGAAAAACCAGCCTAACACCCCAAAGCCACATGCAAAGCAAGATGCGTCTGAGGCAGCAGACCACAGGGCACTTCTCCCCCACGGGCAACCCCAAGACGACGGTGCTGAACAGGGACCCGTTTTGGGGTGCAGGGCTTCAATTGGTTCTTGATCGTTCCACAAGACATCAGTCCTCGTTGCTGTCATTAGACGACGAATCGAGAGTGTGTTGTCTCTCGGGACAAGCCCCTTGTCTAAGTGCAAGACGGCCAGGAGCCAGAGAAATTCGCTGAGAAGAGCATCTTCCTCTCGGATGCGTTTGGCGCGGATGTCAGGTTCGGGCGCATACACCGAAAGAAAGCAGCATGCGTGAAACGGGTGAAAGCGTACAGGTGTAAAGTGTAAAGTCTAAAGGCTTCCTGAAGCCGAACACGCCGAGCACTGCCCATTTGGAGGCGTGTTCGCCGGTCGGTGACCGGGAATCCGCTGTACACGAAATCAAACAGTTAAACAGAGGCTTGGCAGCAGCCCAGCACGGAAAGAGCGATCCGATCCCGAGCTCGGCTCGACCGAGGCTGAAGTTGGTAGATCGATGAGCCACACCTGAGCCCCTGAGCCTGTGGCCTGCATGAATTCGGCGCACGGCTTTGCAGGTGCCCGTTGCCCTCCCTTTACCCCGACCCTTCACCCCGCAGACCCAGCGCGGAGGCCCTTCAGCCAAAGGCTCTGACCCGCAAAGCCTCGGTTCCCTAGCCGCGCATCACATCCCGAAGGGATGTGGTCCCTTGGCTATGTACAGCTACTGCGAATTTTTGACAAAAGGGACTGCCAAGGACATCGCTCCGGAGAGCCTTCCCAACCGGAAGGTGCTTGTCAAGAGCATCAGAGAGCTTTGGATCCCAAGCACACCAGGCCAAGCCTCGTGTGCCGTGCATCCATGCCCATGGGCGCTGAAAACCCTAAACCCAAGAAAAGTCATCGCAAGCTCTGCCTCTCGTCAAGTTTCCGGGCCTTCTTCGGTTTTTATTCAAGAACTCGTCTGCCGTTTGCCGCTCGCGAGCAGCCTGCACTATTTCGGGGGATCTCTTCTCGACACCTGCGAGGAGCCAGGGGCCCGGCCAGCCCGAAATAATCCAATGATCCCGATTATCCCCCAATGGTTTCAGCTCTCACTCTCAACCCGAGGCCATGGCCGAGGAGGAGGAAGCGAGCTGGGACCAGACCCTTGATGAGTGGCTCATCAGTGAGGCAGGGAGGCATCCGTCTCCGCACGGTTTGGTTTTCATCCTTGCTCAGGGCTACTGCTATGCCGCCGGCATGGCCCAGCTCGAGGATGGCAACTTCTATGCCGCCGCACCTGTGGCCGACGAGGTCCCGCGAAGATGAAGATCTCGTGCCTGCACATAGCTCGGGACCCCATTCGCAATCACAGGCTGGATGGGGCTTCATCTTCAAGGAGGACCACGAGCAGATGATCATGCAGGATGTCACCTGGCAGCAAAGATGTACGGCTCCCGGAAGCAAACTGTCCAAAGCCAATCGACGTCTCCGCCAAGGACATGACTGAAAAGAAGATGACAATCAACGAGGCCATGGGTGCAGCATCATGCCACGCGTGTTGCATAAACCCGAGTTTGAAGACCGGTTTTCGGCGCAAGGGAACCGCCTTGAAGTTCCTGGCCGACAACCACAAGGCCCCCCCGACCGGCCTCTGGTTCGGCGGAGAGACGCCTGGCCAAAAGTGGGTCGTTGTGCTGAGGATATCGCAGGATGCCTCTGGGTTGCGCCCAGGAAATATGCAGTTACTCGCGTGGACAAGAACTTTGAGTCTGGAGATGCGTCGTCGCCTGGCTTTGCTCGTTACTGACCCTTCGTCTTGCGATCATCTTGTCGGGGTGCAGAAAGAGACTCTATCTTTGTTGAGTACATAAAGCTTCTGTAGCAGCCTTTACAGCTGGCTTCCTAGGTTTGTGTTCATCTTTGCGGCCAAGCCCAAGAAGGCTCGATCAGCGGACGTGTGGCAGCTGGTGAATCGCAACGAACATCCGAATGTCAAACTCACCGGACCTATCCCACTCCAACCTAGTCCCGAAGTTGAGAGGGCATTTCTTTTTCGAAAGTGGCTTGGGCCTACAACTCTGCCTGGCTGCCTCCAGGGCGTGTCCATTGCCATCACCAAGACCCAGGTCATCTGTGCATTCTATGACGAGCCTCGCCTGAAGCTGTCGGCCTTTGGGGCTCCCGCTCTGCCTCAGCCCGAGCTCAGGAAGAGAAGGGCCAAGTCGGCGGCAACTGCACAAAGGCGGGGGCGGATCTGCGGAAGGGACGCCTCGCCCGGCTTGTCGACTTGAGAGTCAAGTCCTCGGTCTCGGCGTTCTGCCCAGGCAGTCGTCGCCTTCGCAGAGTACATGGTTGGCTTGGGCTACTGAGGGGCAATTCGGAGATCCGAGGAGTTCCCAGAACAGCCCCCTCCGAGAAGTCTCGCAAAATCAACACTCTGGAGTTTAAGCAGTGCATGCCTGCTGTGCTTTCTGTCTCTGGGACTACTCTGTCCAATTCACCAGCCACCTGTCATTGCTCGAACCTAGTCTTACAGCAGGCTAGTGGCCATACTTGCAAGCCGAAGCTCTGGCAGTCTAGTTGAGCACATCACCGCGTGGTTGCTCCCACAGTTGGTGGGTGGCCCCCGCGTAATGCGGGATGCATTGCAAGCGAAAGCTGAACACCACAGCTTTCCTAAGTTTGCTCCTGCCGAAGGCCGCCATGACATGCGCGCTGATTGATTTTCCTTTTTGTGCGCCTTCGATGAGGATCGTAGAAGCCGAGCGACTGGAGAGAGATGCCCGCGGTCTGGAAAGGAGGAGTGACGCTGCTGCTCAGCGACGCAAACTCAGCCGCAGCGTCACCGGCCGTACCATGCCTTGGTCCTTACTTTTCGGCTTCCAGCAAACGTCGCCATCTGCCTTCACACGGTGCCTGTGGCACCACTCGTACACGCGCGTGGGGCCTGGCCTGGCAGCCTTTCCAAGGTGTCCTTGGAGTGCTGTACTTTCTAGATGTCTTCACGTCATTTCATGTCACCTGAGGCCATGGCGGAAGAGGAGGAAGCGAGCTGGGACCAGACCCTGGATGAGTGGCTCATCAGTGAGGCGGCCAAACCCAAAACACGGGGCACGCAAGACCTTCATCCACCAAATTTCCATCCTGGCTAGTGTAGTAAACGTAAACGTTGACATGCGATCTTGCTGTAGGCACAGCGAGTGTTTCGAGATTTTTGAACATTTTCCGGCGGCTGCAAAATCTCCCGAGCAACTTCCAGCTTCGGAACCTAAGTTCTTCGTTTTAATTCGAGCCTTCTGAGCCCCCTGCAGGGCTACTGCTATGCCGCTGGCATGGCCCAGCTGGAGGATGGCAACTTCTATGCCGCAGCACCCGTAGCCGAGGAGGCCGGCTACGTCAGCGCGTTTGCAGGGGGACAACATGTCGAGAAAACCAGAGTGCCAGCAAAGCAGATTGGGAGTACTTTCAGAAGAGGATGATTGTGCTGCTTGCCGCAACTGTCCACGTTAGGCCGGGTGGGGATTCATCTACAAGGAAGATCACGAGGAGATGATCATGCAGGATGCTGCTTGGCTCCAGCTGGTGGCTCGTTTTGCCCTACTCACGGCATCGCACGGAGCCTAAGGACATGACAGAAAAGAAGATGACCATCAACGAGGCCCGGGTTGATTCCTTTGAGGGCCCGGAGGGGCATCTAGGTTCCACATGAGAGAAACTTGGGCCACCAGGATCCGTCAGGTTGGAGATAAAGGAATGTTGTCATTTTGACTTTCTGCTGGAGTTTTCGGAACCTGCTCAGTTTTCCAAACCTCGAACTCTAGAGTGTCTTAGCCTGACGCACAGCGTGGAGCAAGCAGAAGCCTTGCTGGAGCGAGGGAACCGCCTTGAAGTTCCTGGCCGACAACCACAAGGCCCCCCCGACCGGCCTCTGGTTCGGCGGAGAGACGCCTGGCCAAAAGTGGGTCAACATGTGGCGGAACCCTGGAAGTCAAACTTGAGGGGGCCCGATGGACCCTTGAATGTGACATCCGAACGTCCCCCTTTCTGCACACCGAGGAAGTACGCAGTCACCCGCGTGGACAAGAATTTCGAGTCGGGAGACGCCTCGTCACGTGGTCTCGTTCGTTTGGATTGGTTCAGGGTCTGTAGCTGTTGGGAAGTTTGTGATTGAGAGTGTGGGTTGAGCCGATGAGTCGCGCCAAGGTTTGTCTTCATTTTCGCCGCCAAGCCGAAGAAGGACTGCCAGGGTTGCATTCACTGTCGGCCGCACGAATCGCATGGGGATTCTGCGCTCAGGGCGTCTCGATCGCCATCACGAAGAGTCAGGTGATCTGCGGATTCTACGATGTGCTTCGGCCAAGCTAGCAGGAGGAAGAGACACCGTCTGACTTCCACGTCTAAGCAGCTGTCGCCCCGGGGAAGCTGAGGAAGAGAAGGGCCAAGTGGGCGGCAACTGCACAAAGGCTCGGCTCGCGACAAAACCGGAGAGCCGCAGATGCAAGCTCGGCCTGAGGCCGTTGTCGCCTTCGCGGAGTACATGGTCGGCTTGGGCTACTGAGGCTGAGACCCCTTCTGCAGGAAGTCCCGCCTCCACCAGCATCGTCTTCGTCGTTCATTGGCATCGTCGCTGTTGCAGGAAACAGCATCAGCTACTTCTGCTGCTGCTGCTCCTGCTGACGTTGCTCATGCTCCAATTCCCGCTGCTGCCACAACGACAACAACAACAACTACTACTACTACTCCTCCTCCTCCTCCTCCTACTACTACTACTACTACTACTACTACAACTACCACAGCAACAACAACTACTACTACCGCTGCTGCTGCTGCTACTACTACTACTCCTCCTACTACTCCTCCTGCTGCTGCTACTGCTGCTACAGCTAGTTTAACTTTACTTCTGCTACTACTTCTAAAAATTAATTTACTATTACTTCTTGTTTTACTTCGACTAAAATTTCTACTGCTTGTATTACTTCTACCACTTTTTTATTGTCATCACTTCTGCTGACATTCCTGTCTTGCGTGTATGCCGTGTGTTGACCCATGAGATGACTTGCAGGTCCAACACGCATCCTGGTTCGGTGAGTAGCCGAGCGGTTTGTGGCAAGACGCACCGCAAGAGAAGATTGCAACAGTCTTCCTAAGTCTGCGCTTGCCGGATTGAAGTCACAAGATGTGCAGCGTCTGACACCGCCTTCGATTGTTTGGCTGTTTTCCTGTCTGCCTCCAGCCTGCAAGGATCGTAGATGCACAGAGACTGAAGCTGGAGACGAGCCCGCGCCGAAATGACTCGGCGATGCTTGAGATGGATGGATTCGCTGGAACGGAGCACCGCAATTTTTAGCTACAGTCTGTAAGGTGTCACAGGCCCCCTGGTGGACCAGCTGCCATGAGCTTCAAGCGCCGCGTCCGCGGCGCCGCAGTCCTTCTAAATCTCAGCCCCCAAAGTGGTCAGAGTCGTGGGTCCTAGTCAAAAACTGGCAAGCGATCTGCCAAGCGACCGAGCCATGTCCTGCCTTCCACGGGAGACGCTGTCTCATTTTGAGCAGCGAGAGCAGGACCGTCATGGCCTTCTCTGATGGATGAACATCCAAGGGCACACGAGGTCGATGGCTGCCTTGCAGGAATTCCTCTCTCTGCACAGCCTGTTTCACCCTCCCCTGCATGCTTGTGTGCCAGGAGATTCTCGCACGCAACGACGAAATTGAGCGGAAGATGCTCGGCAGCAACAGGCTGAAGGGACTTGTGTCCCGCCATTGCCGATTGGGTTCAAGGGGTCATGCCTGTGAAGAGTGTTTCTCTGCACGAACCGATGTAAGTTTTTGGCTTTTCAGCACAAGGGGCTGACTTGAGTTGAGCCGTCCCAAGCAATCTGAGGAGGGTCCAGGCGTTGGACCAGGCGGCCACCTGGAAACGGGTCGGCGTTGGGTTTAGGAAGTTTAAGACGGAGGAAAAACACTTAAGTTAATTCCGACCGAGGATGCCCGGGATGAAAGACTCAAGTCTGCAAGGATGGGCGGAGTCATGGCGGAATGAGTCAAGCGACTTTGAAGCCACCTTCTTGGGATTTGTAAGAGATTCGCTCGTTCCTACAGCGTCTGTTCCTGACTCAATGCCCCTCGACGGCAGGGTGCGATTGCACCTGCTCGGCGGAAGTAGAATCGCACCAGTGTTTTCTTGCTGTCTCTCCCTTCCCTGGACGGCTGTGTCCTCTCATGCCTTTTCGAAGCCATTTCCAGGCCCGGCCTGCAGCCCACTGGCCCCTTCCTGTAGGAGCACTTTGCAAACCATGTGCCTGGAGGTCTTGACATGGAACTTAGCTAGAACCTACAAGCCACGAATGCACCGCTGCAAACGAGAGGGCTGCCGAGAGTGCGAGAAGGAGTTCATCTCTCTCACTGCAAGTCTTTTCGACGTTGTCGTAGTCATCTTTGTCGTAATCATCACTACCATTAGACGGCGTAATCATGCTGATAAGAAAAAGCAGATGACCTGACATCCTTCACCGTGTGCCCACAAGCCCTCGAAGTCTTGATAGAGGTCACCGATAATCATCGATAGGAAAACATCGACACAAAAAGGTAGCTATGCTAGTAGCACTAGCAGCTAGCAACAACGGTGCTATCAAGAACAGCAAGTAAATCACCAGTCATTCCTGAAACAACTCAAGAACAAGTCTTTTGACCCATTGCGGTACAGCCCACAGGCCTGCAACGCGATCAGGGAAGCGGAGCTTGCGACCTCAGTTACGTAGGGAGGGTTTCGGCTCAGTAGGGCGGTTATATGAGTGCCTATACCTAACGTGGTTCTTTGTTCTTTGAGGAGTTGCTGTTCTCGCTTTTTTTTGGAAAAATTATCGAACAGTTTCGAGTTTCGGCATGCGGTGCGGAGTTGGGGTTGGAAGTGTAGGGTTTGGGGGAGGTTCGCTGCACGAGCCTGTCCTGAAAGGACTTCTTTGGTCTCGACATGGGGTTTCTAGGGTTTCTCGAGGCGACAGGCATGACGCGGACCAAGGTCCTGCACGCTTCGGCCTACCCGTGCAGAGGCGAGAAGTGGCTGACACTCCCATGCTCATGAGAAAAACTCCTTTAGCTTCAAGAGATATGGCTGCTTTTCCGTTTCCACCGGACTTCGGATTTTGATTGCAGTAACCCTGCAACAGAGCCTCCGCGCTACATTCGTTAGGTGTCGTCGGCAGCAGCGGCCGAAGCTGCCACTGTGGAGCTGCCGAGCCCTCGCTTTGCGAATTTGTTGCTACAGCCTTTGGCCAAACTTTTTGAGATGCAAGGGTTTCCGGGCTCCTGAGTGATGTTGCATCGCATGCCGCTCGTATGGCGATGAAGCCTCAAACTGCAACAATACCGTCCAATCTTGGGGTTTGGGCGCTCTCCGAGCCCTTCTCCGAAGCACCCAAGGCCCAAGGGATTTCACAAAGCAAGGGACCCTCCAGAACAGATCCTAACTAATTACTAGTTACGAGCATCTTGAATCTTAATGGTAACGACCACTATAATTCACCAAATCAAATGCCCCTAAACCCTAAACCACCCTGAACCGTTTATTGTGTACTTATTTTGAGAGCAACTCTCCTTCAGGACCGGACACGTCTGCGGAGACCCCGAAGCAGCCCCGATCCTAGCCGGCCGCCGCTCGCTTCCCATCCTGCGAAGAGAAGCGTTTCAGGTGATCCGTAAGTTGCTGTTTAGGGTTTAGGGTTTAGGGTTTTTGTATACACACTATACGTTGTGTGTGTGTGTGCGTGTCTACATAGTATACATAGATGAATAGATCAACGTACCAACGTGTCTGCGTATGCATCTGTCTAGGCATATGTATCTGCATGTGTATGTAAATGTGCGCGTATGTGCCTATGTCTATGCATAGGTATGTGGGCGTGTCTATGTAAATGAACTCTTATACATATGTATATATATACATATACAAATGTTATACATGTATATATACACACACATTCATACATGGATATTCATGTATGCACATTCATGTATGCAACCTCACATATAAATTCGACATTGCATCAAATCAGCAAGTTCAATAACTCGACGACTAAACGAAAAGTAAGTAAGCACATGTACATATCAACAACACATAAGCAAGTTAATAAAGACATGACTCCACAAACGAATCAGTAAACCAATAGCAAGAACAATGGCATAACCAGATGCACAAAGAAATGAATAAATACATAGACAAGTTCAACTGAACAAGGAAATTAAGTACACAAATACGACACAAACAAGTAAGTACATGCATAAAGAAGCAACACATACATGAACACTTTTTGCATACACATGAACATACATATATGTATGTATGTATGTATGCATGCATGCATGCATGCATGCATGCATGCATACATGCATGTACGTACATATAGCGCAGGTATAGTATACAAGTATATACATAAGGCATGAACCCTTGTACATGTGCATGCTCATGTGTTGAAAAACCTGCGAAGATATGCATATTTTATGCATATGCTTATGCGTATGTTTTGTATTCAAGTCTATGCATATGTGTAGAGAGGCATGTTTGGATTTCTGTCGTGCGTTTTCCGTGTTTTCACGGCCTTCGGGTCGCAGGGTGGGTGGCGGGGTTGGGAGTCCACTTGGCCACCGTCAACATCATCATAATCATCACCATCATCGTCTTCACCATCCTCACCATCATTGTCAACACAGGCCAGACTACGACCCACTGCCGTTGCTGCTGCCGCGACCCCTGCTCGGGCACTGTTTGCATGAACCTGTTCCGTTCCTCGGGGCCTTTGTGACCGAAGGGCAAGAGCCCGCAATGACGGCGGCTAATCTCCATGGATGCAACTGAAAGAGCTGAGCGTCCGAGAAGATTCAACTGAAGGAACTGGGATAAGCTTGAAATGTGTTGAAGATTGTGGTGGGAACATTGTTCCACCACAAAATACACAACACAACACCATGCGGCGGGACGTTCTAGTACGCACAACCCATGACTTCAAATCAACCATTACTGAAGTGGGCCGCCAGTCTTGGATGGCTTCGGGTTCAGATCCTGACAGGGAGGATGGAGTCGGATAGATGGCTTTTCCGTGCTGCAATCACCTGTGTTGGTGGGCTTGGACATACGACCAATGCCACCAACATTAGCTGGATTTCGAGCATGTAGGATTTGACCCCCGTGACTCGAGCCGAGGAACCGCCCGAACACCCACAAATCTCCCGCTCAAGCCGGAGACAAGCGAAAAGAAACGTGAACCCGAAACCCTACACCCCTACAAGGGTCATAGCTAATATCTGAAGAAGTGCAGAGCCGCCAGGCCGCGGCCCTTGGGGCAGCGCGCGGAACTCGGAGAAGCGCCGGTTGGTTGAAGAAGCGGAGAGCATCATCATGTTGAGTGTCAATCTCAAGAGAAGCAGTTCATCAGCCTCGGCATTACCGTTCCCTGCTGCGCTTTCCACCGTTGAAACCCTGCCGAGAAAACCCGACGCCCCCAGGCCATGGAAAAACCCCTTGGAGTTTATTGTTGTGGTCAGCCTCCAGAACCTCATGCGAAAGCCGCGAAAGCTCTGAAACCCACCTGAACCTTAAACCCTAAGCCCAGCGCCCCCTGAGCCCCACAATGCCTTGCCTGAACCTTGGAGGCTAGGTCCCAAAAGCCTGAACCCTAAAGAGCAACCCAAAGCCCCCAAACCTGGGAGGTCTGAGCCCTTCATCGGCGCTGTCGCAGAGGAGGTGCGGGCAAGAGACAGCTCTTTTTTCTCTGCACATGCACAACACCATGTTCAAGCATACATATGTGCAAAAACATACACGTATACATCCATACAGCATAATTACATAGTACTACAGATGCACATGCATATATGTTTTGTATCAATGGCCGTCATCGGCTCGTGATTGAAAGAGGCCTTGCAAACCACCATCCGCGTGCAGAATGCACGCATCCTGGCCTTGCAGGAGGTGCACGGCCGAAGAGTTTTCAGGCTTTCTTCTGGTTTTGAGAAGCTTTGGACAGGCGCCGGAGCATTGTGGTGCCATGAAGCACCAGCGAGCGTTCGCCACCTGCAGAGTGACGAGTTCATAACGTGGGCTTTTTTCGGCTGGAAGTGATAACCGAAGGAGCCCAAACCGGAGGAGAAGACATCAACAAGTGGAGCACCCCGCGAGCCGTTCCCCTCGCATATCAGCCCAAGACGGCATAGACTCAGACCGCTGAAAACCCTGGCCCCGTCGTGGTTTCAACTTCGGCTATGGGCAAAGATGGGCAGCTCTCCGTCTCTCCAAGAGATTGAGGAATGCGCCAGGGAGCCACGAAGAGCCTCGGAGTCAGGGGAGTCAGGGGAGCCTCCGGTGCTCGACCGTCGCAGATCTCAGTTTCTGATGCCCCGGTCGGCCACCGAGGCATCTTTCACGATGTTCGTGACTTCAATCGTGACTTGGTGTGTGAAAGATGCAGCGCCAGGTTCGGCCTTGCAACGTGTTTCGACCGTTGAGGCAAGGGTGTTGGAGTTTACACCAGTGTGCCAGCATCTCGTTCCCGTGAGGCGGCTTAGGAAGGACAAATCCGGGCCTTGTGGTCGCGTAAGTGACGTTAAGGGATGAACCCGTTCAGCTCTGGGTGTTGGGTCTTTGTCCGTTCAAGGCCGCTCGACCCCGAACGGTGCGGCCATCAAGCAGCTTGGTCGCACGAGCGCTTTTGGAAAGCTGCCGGAAAATGTGACCCGGCGATATGGGGGCAGGCACGAGGGCATCCTCCTTGACATCCCCGAGACAGGGCGCAGCTTGGCCGGTGTAAGAGCTCCTGTGGAGGATTGTTGCAGAGAGAGATGCTCCGGTTCTGTTGGCGCGATTGGGTTAGATACTGGCTCTTTGATCACCTCCCAGTTCGATGCAACAACAGCATTCTAGCCGATAGCCAGATTCCTAGGTGAGTGCCGTGTGGCCCTCCCAGAGGAGGGATGGTGCTTGAAAGGATTCGTCTCGGAAGGCGGGATGAAGCCTGTCCCTGTTTCATACAAATGTGCACACAGAAAGTAGGACAGATTGAGCGCATGACGGCAGGTGTCTGGACGAACTTCCTCTTGCCTGGAGACTGGGTTGGCTTTCTCGCTGTACGACTGCGAGGCATGCGAGCGCCAAAGATCCTGTTCGCCCGCCCAAAACTTCAATTTCGACATGACAGAACTGACAGGTGCTAGGGCTGCTAGGGAATGAAACTTTGCAGTTTCTAGGTCTACGGTGCAAGCTTCGGCTCCTCACAAGCAAAGCTCTGCTTTCAGCGAGGCCGCATGGTGATGGCGCAGCTCGTGGGCCTGCGAATGGGGGCCGTGAGCCGGGCTTTCCGTCGCTCTGCTCGCTTGGAGGGTTGGATCTGGGGGTTTAGGGTTTAGGGTTCAAGGATTGAAGCCATATACGGCTGTCGGATGAGGTGCCATGGGTACGCCCTCGGACTACAGCTTCACCTACAGCTTCTACCTGCGCTGCTGCGGGCTCCATGCGCAGCACGAGCAGCTGGCAAGGGGCTCCTGGAGAAACTCTGGGGTCTTCCGGGCCTTCTTCTTAGGGAAGAAGGCCGGACGTTGAAAGGGAGCCGTAGTAGTCGTGCTGATGGCGTGTGCTGGCAGTCTGCGAAGGTGGAGTGGAAGGGCAAAGTCCGATGGAGCCAGCAAACCGTCACAGCGGACACGGCCCTGGGGTTTGGGACTTCAGGGTCAGCGTTGGGCTAGTGTCTGCTCGTGTTCGGCTGATGTCTGCAGCGGCGTAGGTCGCATCACAGACGGGACAGGTGAGCGTCCACATGAAGCTGCACGAGCACGTCTACGGTGAACCACTGCTTCTCATGGCAGCACCGGGCATGCTCGCAAGAGGACCCTTCAACAAAGCCAGACCAGTGCTCTTTAGCATCAGATCGCCTGATTGGAGGACCCGCTCTGAGCCCTGGCGCCTGGATCTTGCCACTTGGTGGCATCTCCACAAGGAAGCTGCAGGGTCGTTGTGTCACTCGTGACCTCAGGTTCACTGCGGAGATTGTAGATCAAGGTGGTCGCTTGTTTTCCCACCGACTACGCCTCCTGCAGCTCGGATGTCAAAAGTCGATTCCAACAACTTCTCACTTACACCTCCCCACGGCATGCCGAAAGGTGCCCACCAACACTTTTTAAGCATTGAGTTCAGGCCGCTGAGGAGGTCCACTGTAGGCGAGAGGGGAACAGTATCACCCGACGCAGTGCAGGGGACGGAAGCATCGCAGATTCAACAAATGCTGTCACGGAAAGTTTTCCTTTCAATCTTCAGCTATATATTCCATCTTTCCTTCAATCTGTGTACCTGTCTACCTGTTATATATCTGGAAATATATGCAAATTTGTACATCAGGGTACACATTTGACGTGTGTTGCTCGTACATTATATGTTCATTCGTTTCACAGAATCCGACTCAGGCAGCCTCTCCAGTTCACAGAGGAGGAGCATGGTCCAGCGTCGGACAGTGAAACGGACACAGCCCCGGAAACGGAGGAGGCGCAGACAAACGCGCGGTTTTCGGGCTTTATTCGAGTTTCAGAGCAGGAACTTCCTGAGCCTACGCGAGGTGGAGTCGTCATCTGGGGACGAGCGGTGGAACCGACGAGTGGAGTCGGATGCATCCGTGCCGCCATCGCCCACGACCGTCGTGGCTAGCGAGGAGGCGCCACTCCTCGTAGCTCGGGGCAGAGATTTTGACGGCTCCCAGAACATCCGCCAGGAGCCGGAGCCAGCGCAGCCCGCGTCGCCGCCTCCCATCTCTCAGCCCGCCTGTCGGCCGGAAAGGGTCTAAGACGCTGATCGGAAGGCCAAGAGAGGCTTCGCGCAGCTCCGAAGTTCAATCCTTGCCCTCCGAGGCCAAGCGGAAGGCGGACGGCAGCCCTGAGACGGACAGTGACCGGGTCTGTGTCATCTGCCAGGCCAGGCGAGGGATTCAGCGATGCAGAGACTCGTTAGCTGCGGCCAGGCAAATTTTGTGCTTCCTTGCCTCAAGTCTGGTTTCAACAAGTCCCGAGGATCAACAAAAGACCCACGCCTTCATACCCTGCGGGCTCCTGGGTTTCTTAAGGCCTCCTTTTTGTTCTGAGCGGTTTTCTTGCTCAGCCTTTCAAGTAAGTGACCATCTGCCTCCTCGCGAGCCGAGGCACTTCTGTGTCTGCGAGCCGTGTGTCAAACGCTGCCTGGCACGCTCTCGACGGGTCTGCCCCATCTGCCGGAAGCCTGCCCGACGCTCCTTGGCAGCTTTGATTCTTCGGAGTTGTGCATTCCCGGACTGGATGTTTGGACTTCCAGCCCTGGGATTCCGTGCCTGGAAAACCATCTCCAAACCAGGTACTTGTTGTGAGTTCCATGAACCGAAGACGGTCGCGAAGGAGAGTGGGCTGGATCACAACGGGCTTCCCCTCAATGGGCTTGCAAACTTGCGAACGGGTGGGCAGGAGGTCAAGGATAAAATCGATTTGACACAACTAGCTCACAGAGCTATGACTTATGCAATCCTGCTTTGAACCATATACACGAGGTCCGAAGCCCGAAGTTCTTCAAGAACAGACCCCAGAGTATCAAGCCCTCAGCTGAAGCCTTTGGCCAAGGCTCCCAGCGCATCTTCACGTAGACGCAGCGGATTCCAAGCACAGCAACCAACGCCTGCGGAAGAGTTTAGTTACGGACCTATTGCGTGAGGCTTGAACCAACTGTTGTGCTGGACGACGACTGCAAGCACCAGAAGAGGAAGACCACGATGATCACAGTTTGATGGTTGTGGTTGTTGTCGGCCGTGGTGGGGGTAGTGGTGGTGATGGCGGTGCTGTAGTTACTGCTGCTATTAGTGATTGTTGTTGCTGTGGTGGTGGTTGTGGTGGTGGTGGTGGTGGTGGTGGTGGTGGGTGTTTCCGAGAGGCTTGCTGAGAGCAAAGTCCTCAGTGACGAGTTCGACGACGCCTTGCCATGCTGCCGCTGCCGTTGATGCACGTGCTCATGGTCACGAGGTTGGTAAGGAAGTTGTAGACTGTAGACATGCGTGATGATCATGATGACGGCAGTCCTGGTGCTGCGTGAGGAAGCAGACGACGATCACGATTTTTCATTCTCAGCTTAGCAGTCGTTTCGGCACTATTCACTATTCGTATACAGTGCTCTGGGAACGTGGCAGGGGTTGCTGGCCTTGGGTGCCCGCTCCGAACCGGAAAACAGCCGGGACGGAACAAAATCCAGCTCGAGCCGAAAGAATACCTTACAGTGAAGCGTAATGAGTGCGATCCTTGCCACAAACCCATAAGCCCGAAACCTTAAGCAACCCTAGAACCCTAAGCCTCTCAAGTCCTACACCTTCAGCCGAACGAAGCTTCTTTTGGACCTCACCTCGAGCTCTCAACGTGCGCTTGGCTGGTGGCCGAAATGGCCCCGAAGCCCCAAAGCCCCGAAGCCCAGGGCTCTCGAGCGAACGGGAAGAAAATGCGTCGATGGAAGGGTGTGTAGGGGTTCCTTTGTTGCTTTTTTGGAGAAAGGTGTCCGTGGCCCGTGATCGCTGTCTGAAGTCTTCATTTGTTTAGCTTGGCCCGAAATACATCTCATCGTGCGTGAGCCTGTCGTTGAATAGGAGTTTCTGCTTCGAATTGCGTACTTCAATGTAGAGGTCTCGCTTAAACAGCTGCCAAGTCTTCTGAACCCGAAACCCCAAAGACGGCTTCCCAAAGTCTTGACAGAGTCTCTGCGTTGCCAGGAGCTCGACCGAGCTCTGTCAGAGCTATCACAGCGTGAGACAGAGGCCGAAATTAGAGGGTTTGCACCCCCAATTTTCCCAAGATTTGGGATGTGGTGCTCTGCGCCTGCGGGGGATGTCTGAGGGGAGCATGCAGTTCGGACTGAAGACTCCAGAGCTCGGGAGGTCGATCCTGAAAGCAGCTAAAGTTCAGCTACAGCCTCAAGCGCCATCTCACCCATCAAGCCTCAGGCGCAAGAAGCCCGGCAAGAGAGCAAACAGGCTGGAGCCTTGGGAAGCGATGCCGTCCATAAAGGCACCGGGAGGATCATGACAACGGGAACACGGCCTGCTTCAGGCTTCTGAAGAGGCGAAGCGCTTGCAGACGCTCGTCTGACAAGGGGTTGCTGTGAATTCGATTCGCCGCACGCTTGCCCTTCATGCTGCTCCGCAAGTGTTTCCAACACAGGGATTCTGTGGCGGCTAACCAATACGCGATGTTCTCCTGCAGGAAGACAAACGCATCCCTCGAGCAGTCGCAGGAGACGATAGTTTGTTGGCCAGCCTGCAACCACGGCCAGGTAGATAGACAAGATGACACTACATACAGAAATCTACTGCAATATAGTATATATATATATATATAGATAGAGTATATGACAACCCACGACAGCATACGATAATATGCTGAACCGGACAGAGCTCAGAAAGGTTGCGAGGAGATGCCGGAGCTGGTGCCGGAAATCGACTTCCCCGTCTCTGTGCATTCTCGTATATTCGGATAGTATGTTCTAGTATATGATCGCATATGATTTTTTATGGTAGTATATGTGAGTCCTTGGTTCTACAGCAGGAGAAGCTGAAGAAACAGCTCGCCACCTTAGAGACCAAGGCGCGAACAAAAAGAGCGTCAAATGTTCAAAACCCCCACAGCTAAGTGCCATCCGATGCGGGATTTTGTGGCTCTTGCTTCTGGGAATAACTGGAGTCTCCCCAATCCGAATCTTGAGCCAGAATGCCGAACCTTGTGAAACATCTACGAAAGTGGAAAGCCTCGCCGTATTGCTAAAATGAACTTCAAGCCGCCCCTGCAGGCCAAAGACCTTGAGGTGGAACGCTCGGAGCTGACGAAGGAGGGCATCTGGGAAGGATTTGTTCAAGCCTTGTGGCTTCCAGGCTTTGCTGGGGGCTTAGTGATTAGTGATTGCAGGCCTAGGCAGTTGAGCTTCACATACAGCTCATGCCAGCGGTGCCGATTAGGTAAGTTAGGAACTCAGGGAGGGTTCAACAAATGTTGTAGGAGCGAGACCAGCTGGACTTGAAGCTGCGGAAAGCAGAGGCGGAATGCAGCAGCAAGGCCTGGCAAGAAGGGTGTATGATTCCGGACGGCCTCTGTTTACCACGCCTGCCGTGCTGAAACAGGTTGCCCCCTTCGTTGTGATCCAGTCCTCTAGCCCTCAACCCTAAGCGCCCGAATCAGTCTAAGTCGCAAGCATAAACCACCAGGGCCCCCCTTGAAGTCAGGAAGCCCGCCTGAATCGGCTCATGGAGGAGAGCGACAAGTGGAAGGCTCCTCTTGATTTTTTGCTTTGGCTCTTTTTGTGCTTTTTTGCAGAGGTCGTCGTAGGTGGCACCGGAGCTCCATGGCTCCGCTGCCTCCGTGCCCCATCCGGTCTGTGCTCCAATGCCTCCGTTTGGGGCACTGACCCCATCTCCCAGTAGCGTGGCGCTGTAGAGCGGGCCCACATCGTCCTCGCGCCCTGTCAGCGGCCGTTTCAGCGAGTTTGTTGCAGAGAGAGCTTGTTCTAGTGCGGCACGCCCATCAGTATCCCCGCGTGTGCCCCATTCTCGCTGGAGACTTGAAGAGAGCATCTCTTAAAAGCCCCATCTGTCGCCCAAAGGAGGCCCATACAGAGGGATGACTACGCCGTTGCAGCGAGTTCGGCTCCGGACATGCCCAAAAAAGCCCAAACCGATGTTGGGCCCTTGTCGCCAGGCTGCTGCCGCGACTGCGAACGTCCAGGACGCAGAAAGACGAGAGGAGTGCAAAAACAGCGAGAGAGGCTATGCGATATCAGGATTTCCTTTCGCTTGTGGTCAGACTCGCATCTCGCTTCGGGAATTCTGCAGGCTCTAAAGCGCCAAGACCTGGCAAGCTATATTAGTGGTTAGAGTCTTCCTGGCTAAGTTCCTACGCATGTTATTTCGTTTGGAGTGCGTTGAGCTGAGGAGCGCGACCGGGTCGCCTCTGACCGCAAAGAAGTAGACCGCTTGACCGGAGAGGCCACTAGAGTGTTGTGTCTTCGGAGCTTGAGCTGAGATTTGGAGAAGCCTCCAGAGAATACCACGCAGTCGCTTGTGTGAGAGGTCAGGAAGCTCGAACGGCAGCGCGGAGAGCTGGCATCGAGCTGAGAGGGACGCGAAGTCACCCCAAACTGAGGACATCTGGTTTTGCCTCAACCATTTTGCGGCAGTTAGAGCCGAGGGCGGGTGGGCGTGAGCCATCGGGACGCACAGGGGTGGGTGGTGACACCAAAGCTGAAGATCTCTAGAGTCTATAGGCGCTGTCGTGCCCCCCCGGCGTAGAGAAAAAGCCTCGGTTCCAAGAAGGCGTGGTAGAGCAACCCTCAAGCTTCCGGTCCGATGCTTTCAGATCAACGCCTTCAAGAAGCAGATGAAGCTCATCGAGGCCGCTGGCTGCTGAACTCCCCTGCTGTCCTGTCCTACTTAAAGGATCATGGGACTTAGTAAGTAGGGTTATAATTAGGGTAACTATACTTAAGGGACTTATAACCTTACTTACTAAGTCCCATGATCCTCCAACTACCCTCGAAAGCAGGGTGACAGTCCAGGTGCTGAAGAGGCAGCGGGCTCACATGGAGGCGGCGCGCGTCCTGTCCTTCACCGAGGACCCGCTGGGAAAGCATGCTGTCTGGGTGGCATGCCGTCACTTACTCCTTCCAGCACCCCACATCACTTGCGATGGAATTCGAAGAAGGTTCCTACAGGCTGGGAGCATTGTAGGTGGCTTGAAGTATGTTTGCGAAGCACGGGCAAGACGGGCTCCGCACTCCCAGCTTTCCCGAGGATGAGTTCATTCGCATCCTCGAACTGGGGGAGAAGCTAGGGGAATGAGCCACTGAGTGCGAGCGCGGACTCCCGGGGGCTTACCTCCGTTTTGCAGAAGGCTCTTGTGCGGTGCTCACAAAGCAAGAGCCCTTCTGGTGTAGTGCCGTCACTGAAGTACAGTTGCATCTTCTGAATTTGAGCCTTGAACATGCGATTTTCAGGGTGGGGAAGTGTCACCTCCGGGTCGCAGGACCGTCGGTACCCGCAGGCCAGGAAAAGGAGCGCATCGCCCAGTCAGATTCGATGGCGCCTTATCGAATGTTGATGTTCGTCTTGAAAGTTACGGCACCAGTACAGCGGGTAGGACGACGGCATGGTATGCCATGTACCACAGTCCATCCAGGACGTCCAGTGTTGATGTGAAGGCAATCTTTGCGACCGCACAACAAGCCATAAACAATCCACACCCTTACTTGCACAAGACCTAGATTAAACCCTCTACAGCCACAGCACCTGTTGTACTAGGTCGCTAGGTCGAAGATGGTCAGTGCACAGCGGCTGGAGTGATGGGATCTGGTCGGGTCTTCGTGGTCACCGGCTCCAGTTTCCTGCTGGGTGGCTGGATATGTTTGTGCAAGCTTGCTGTCGCTGCTGACACTTGCTCCGTACCATGCCCAGAGGACTGGCCACCTCCAGTGCCCCAAACAGCTCCGAAGGTGAAGACGGTGAAGCGTGTGCCAGCCGCGTGGCAGCCGCCAGCTGCCGGCGAATACCTTCCATTTACGCCAGCCGGTGTTCTCGGCTCCCCAAAGGCTGTGGAGGTTGAGCGCCAGATCTACACCTTGCTTGGCGGGCGGCTTGCAAGGGAGAATGCAATTCCTACGCCTGAGACGCGGGTGATCGCAGCTGTTTGGCCCGGTAACTTCGTCTGCGCATATCCAACTGCTGACGGTGGCCTCATCGCGTTGTTGTCCTTCGAGAGTAACCCTGAGCGAGATAATGGAGCGCTGGTTCTGCTGCCAAAGACCACTCTGTCAGCTGGTGGTGGCAAGCCCAGGCGCTTGAAAAGCTTTCCCGCTGACGTTTTTGCCGGTAATTTCTTCGTCAAGTCCTGCAACAGCAGCATTCTGTTGTTGTGCCAATTCAACTCCAAATTATATCCTGTTGACGATTGGGACTCTCCGCACAGCTTCGGCATAATCCGTGTGATGCAAGCGAGCGAGTTCGGTCTTCACTGGTTCAAGAACTTCACCGTCGAACCTAACATGGCTTTGACCGCAATGACTTCATGGGGTGAGTGCGGTGTTGCACTGAGCTTCCACATGTGGCCAAAAGCTCCGCCCAAAGGCCGCATTCCCGTGTTCATGCTTCTGGACGAAGGCCTAACTCTTCCAGAGCTGCTGTCTGCCTGTGCGAGTTCAGTTTGAAACGCACTATCCTTACTTAAAGCCGTACCCTGACACCCCCATCGTACGTCATCTCCTCCAACCTCAGGCGGTGAGCGCTGGTTGCACATTGACTCCGAGATCTTTTCGTCAAACATGGCGGAGGTGACATACCTCGTTGAGGTGGATGGTGGTCTTGCTGGAACGAACCAAACTGCGTTGCTCTTCATCAGCGGCCAAGACATCACTCGCGATGCAGGTCTTACGTTTGCGTGGAAGATGAATGTCACCTACTTACTGAAGCTCTCCGACGGAGCTCTCCTTGTTTGTGGGAGCGGGACGCTGAGCGTCTTCGAACCCGGTGCAGTTGCGCGCCTCGAGCAACCCAAACCGGTCGCAGCCAAGTTCACAGCCGACATCATCGCTGCCACTGAAAGCGCAGATTCTGATAGCGTGGTTATCTTGTTGGCGACTGGCGTGGCTGTGACTTTGAGTAGACTTGGATGGAATCCACGCCGAAGCGATTCGGTTGGTTCTGCTAGGACTGGCCATGGGGCTCTCGCGTCTCTTGGTGACTCCACCTTCGCAGTTGCGTATGCAACGGGCTTGAGACTCCTGAAGCTGTCTCAGCACGGAGCCACGTTGCCCGTGATGTTTCCAGAGTTGGGCGAACGCATTCACCGCATCCACTCCCTGGATGAAGGGGTAGCGGTGAGCACTGCCAACAACTGGGTTTATACCTACCGCCCAGCAGACCTTAAGGCAGTGGGTCTGCCATCGAAGAAGCCATTCAAGATCTTCTCCGACGGATATCCCATCACAATCTTGGAGGTGTCTGAGGACATTTGGGTTGCACACGTGTTTACGATGGGGAAGACTAGCTTCACAATTCAGCTTTATGACTTCGGCGCATCCGTATATCCTTGGTGCAACCTAACCCCACCTATCTACGACCGGACCTTCTACGCCATGAATTGGGGGTACCAGATGGCCAGAGGAACCATCGTAGCTAAAGATGGCAACGTTGTGGTACTGGGAGCTAGTGGATACGTTTGGATTGACCACGACCGGATGAAGTTTTCGAGTGGTTCCAAGTGCCTCTTGGGCGAACCTGGGTATCACATGTCGCACTTTGCAAAGAACCCGTTCACAGGCTTTGCTGACCTTGGTGGCCGTGTGGTTCTCTCCGTCACATCGTGGAAGGAGCCACCATGTGCCTGCTTCAAGGACGAGGGCAGCTGGAGAGGTGGTGCCGCAATCTATGAAGAAAGCAACCTGAGCAGTGGTGGTTGGCCGTATCTCAGAGTCGGCCACCACGAGACAACTGGAGCGCTGCCGCTACGCACTGGGGGTTTCTTATTGACGACAGGCCAGGGATTGGAGTTCTATGGGCCCAAGGCCACGCTTCGCGGAGGCGAACCTGAGGCCACTCTCCCGTTCTATTTTGGCAGCAGCAGTTTCGTCGTCGACACCTGGCCGGGCGGTCAGGACTTGTATCTTCCCGGGGTGGTGCCTCTATCCTGGAAGCCAGCCTTGGTGGTTGCTGGAAGTGTCTTGGTTGCGCAGCCAGTGCCCGAAGGAAGATACTCACCCGACGGCCAGCCGATGGCTCTGACCTGCCCCAACGGCTGGACGTCGCCGGCAGGCAGTGGCAGTTGCCCTGTCCACACTTGGGCTCTCGTGAACACGGCACCCGTGCTTCTTGCAGCTCTCTGCGTTGCCGTGGGGTGCTGTGCACGACGCTGGCAACGGCTTTTGCACCGCACTGAGGCCTGCTTTGCACTGCTGGCTGCATGCTTGTCACCAGATCAGGTCTCTTCTTGGTGCTGCTTGGGGCATGTCCTTGTGACCTTCTGGGGGTGGCGCCATGATGCGGGTGCTGCAGTGCTACATGCAATGGCGGTGCCCATGCTTGCTGCAGCACTCCACGCCGCTTGGCTTCAAGCTCTTGCTTTTCGACATGGAGGGGCCTTTCAGGACCGGGGCTGTCACGAGGTGCTCACACCTTTTGGTCACCGGGTCTGCGAGACTAAACTCGGTCCAGCCATCGCGTTTGTCGCCATCGCTTGTGCAGCTTTGGCCGGCTTGATCCTCGCGGGAAGCGCCGCGGGTCGAGCGAGCACAACTCGCTGGGTCGAGGCTTCTGCCACGCGGTCCACCCCCCTGCGCGCAGCTGTCGCGATTTTCACCACCTGGCGCGGCAAACAGCTCATCGCTGCTGGGAACGCCCTGATCAGCTTCTGCATCTTCCTCCACACACATTTGTCGCTTGGTGAGACTGATCCCCTGAGGGCCATCACCTCGGTCTGCACCTCGCTCGGTTTGCTGTCCGTGGTATGTGGTGTGGTGAATGCAGCGGCATGGCAGGGGAGGCTTCCCCTGTGGCCCGAGGACACCCACTTCCGAGTCACGATTGTGCAGAAACACGTGCTCGTTGCCATGAAGCTCTGCATGTTAACCTCTAAGCACCAGACGCCCCTCGGTCCAGAACTCGAGCACCTCTGGCAATGCCGCCTCCCCTCAGAGTGCCCGTCATCTTGCACTCATAAGCCTGGCGTTTGTGTTCCGATCGAAGAACTCCAAAGCGACAGCAGCTTTGCAGTTGTTGAATGCCGCTGTGCCGCCCGCTGGTTCAGTGTCTTAACATTCGTTTCAACCTGCCTCACACAAGCTTGTCTGCTCCTCATGGCACTCTTTGATGGGGTGTCAGCCTATAGGGCGGCGAGTGGGCGGTCGGCACACGGCACGAGAAGGTGGTGCACCATGCTTGTCCTCCACGTGCTTCTGCGGTCCATCTTGTTGATCATTCAACTGATCTTGACCGTGACAGTGCTGCAGAAGGATTGCTTCTCCACCGTGGAAATGTTGTATGTCATGGCACTGACTCTGCCGGTGCAGCAGTTCTGCAACGAAAGCAAATGCCAGTTCTGCTCACACCTGGAGCGACCCCGTTTCGGAGTGCTTGCTGGGCATGGAGCCTCTGACGGTTGTGTGCTACTTCGGCCTTTGGCGGTGCTTGGTAGCATCGCGGCGAGCACTCTCATGCTTATAAGGCTTCGAGCCCCTGCGTGCCAAGGGTGCCAAGGCTGCGAAGGGGTCCGCCTCGGCATCGGTCTCTCCTGCCTGTCCTTGGCGATCCTGACGCTGCTCTTGGATCCCAGGCTTGCGAAGGCTGCAAGCTCTGAGGTGCCCTGCCGTCCGAACCAGGGAGGCCTGGAGTTTAGCTCATTTTTTACCGCGGCGTCTCGCCACACCGCACAGCCACCAGAATTTTAGTCCGGCGGCATGCAAAGTTTCTCCTGTGGTGTGGTGAAGGTTAGTTCAGTCACTGCGGACACTTGAGCTCCCTGCAGACATAACAGCAGGGTGCGTGACCGGCCGTTGCTGCTCGAGCCTGCCCCCGTAAATGTGTACCGGTTCGCTTGAAGTTAAGAAGCTCCAGTAGCCCAAGAGGGCGACCATGCCATCCCGAGTCTTTCTTTGTGCCTCAATGGTCCCTGCTGCTACTTGGGCCGCAGTGACCGGGCCTGATTTCGGGGTGGAACTGGTGGAGATGAGCGTCGCAGGCTTGACCGAGATCCCCAAGACGGGGATCCAGCAGACCACGTTGGCCATGGGGCTCGCCTACTCCTTGGCCGTCATTGCTTTCTTGCAGGTGTCTTACTTCTTCCTGACACGGACTTTGACCACGCGGCTTCAGCTGGTGACTGTCAGTGGACAGGACACCCCAACAGCGATAGAAGCGCCCTCGGCAGCTCCTCAGGGCGCCAAGGTGCTTTTTGCTTCCCTGGAGCACAACTTGCTGCTGCTTCCTGAGAGCGGCAGGGTGAAGTGCGTTGCGGGCGGCTTGGGCACCGTGGTGACAGAGCAGACGAAGTGCCACCCCACGGACTTGTTGGCTGTGCACGCCGTGGCACTGAGTCATCTGAGAGGACCCAACGGCGAACCGATTCCGGGAGCCAATGGCGAACCCACCAGCATCGACAGCTACGATCTTCGAAACAAGGACATTTGGATCAAGCAGGCCCCGCTGGTGGTCACGGTGGATGGCCAGGAGGAGACTATCGAGCTCTACGAGTCCCATCCACGACGAGATCAGCAAAACCCACAAGCCCCGCAGGTGGGACTTCCCAGATGCCGATTTCGTCGAAACCCGTGAGCCCAGATCATCTTGTCACTCAGTTTGAAGAACTTCAAAGCTTCAAGCGTGAGAGTGACCCAGGTGACTTACCTCATGATGGACCACGAGTGGTTCCGCAACCGCGGGACTCTGCGCCTCGCAGGGAGTGTTGACATTCCCCCGTTCCCAAGTAGCCCCGACCTAAAGCTATGGTTTCATTTCCACCCGAAAGTAAGCCTCAACCCTGATCCCGAAAATCCTCAACCCTAAAACCCTAAACCCCAAGCCCTCAACCATAAACCCTAAGAGCCGTCAGCCCTAAACCGAAAGCCCTGAACTCTCTTTTAAAGGTACCCCAGCAGGGCGGAGTCGCTAAACTCGCTGAAGTTCTTCTCGCTCTTCAATCAGGGGGTCGGTCTGCTCATCGTCACTCGGTCATAATACTAGTTAGTACAAATAATGAGAAAGAAAACAACAAGACTACTCCTGATACTCATAGCAATTACAGTAATAATTGTAATTAATAGTAGTTAACAGTAATTAGTAGTAGTAGTAGTAGTAGTAGTACTACTACTACTACTAAGTAGTAGTAGTAGTAGTAGTAGTAGTAGTAGTAGTAGTAGTAGTAACAATAATAATAATAGTAACAGTCCTAATAATAGTACTATTACTACTACGACTACTAATATGAATACTAACACCACCAGTATTAAGACTAATACTAACGCTTGTACCAATGCTAACACTAGTACTGTTGATGCTGTGAGGCCCGGTGAGTGTTGGCACGTGCAGTGAGTGTTAAGTCAGTTTTTGCTTGCCGTGCGACAGAAGCTTCGTCTGTAGCTAGGAGTGTGAAACAGAAGGGCCCGCACTTGTTTGAGCCATGGCCGATTCGGAACCCGACTACGACCAAGCCCTGCCTGAAGCCCCTCTCCATCATCAAATACTAATACTGATGCTGATGCTGATACTAATACTAATACTAATACTAATACTAATACTAATACTAATACTAATACTAATACTAATACTAATACTAAGACTACGACTAACATTGAGACTGATATTGATACTAATACTTTTTTTTCATCCCAATACTAAGACCACGACGAAGATGCAGACTTAGACGGTAAGGTGAAGTACAGCCCCTGGGTCTTCCAGTGCCCGGACTACTTGCCAGCGCTTGCGCCTTGGTATGCCTGGAAGGCCAGGGTCTGCAGCCAAAGGTTTGCTACGATGTAGGGTTTAGGGTACATCGGGTGTGACAGCCCCGGGCTCAGCACCCTGCTACGAGAAGGCCGGGCAGCCGCCCCGGATGGCGCTGGTGCTGCACAACGCGGAGTACCAGGGCGCCGTCTGCCACGTGCAGGTCCGGCGGCCCGAGCTGCAGAGGCTCGCAACGGTGCTCATGCTGGTGTTTTCGGGATCAGAGCAAAGGGATGGTAGTCTGATTGACGCGAGGGTTGGTCATGGACTTTGGTTGAAGAACAGAATGTCGGCAATGAGTGGCGACGCTGTCAGAGGTTTACTCTGGGGAGATTAACGTTGATACTTAAAATATCTGGGTGCTGATGATTGTCATATTGCAGATCAGAAAGAGGAGGTTAAGGAGGACAAAATCAAGTAAGGCGCGCGGACGACAAAGACGAGAAAAGCAGAGAGGAGCAGCTAGGAAGATTTGGAGGAACGAGAGAAGGAGTAGAAGAGAGAGAAGAGAAGGAGGAGAAGAACGAGACCGCGAAAAGGCGAAGAAGGCTGATTATGACGATTTCAGTCATGAATTTCGGTTTGGCCGATTGGTAACTATCAGCACCTCCGCCGTAAGCCCCAAACTCTCAGCCACAAGCTCTGAACACACAACCCTGCGGCAGACCCTGAACCATGAGTTCTAAACCTAACTTGCAAGCTTTTGCAACACCGGCTGCAGCCTTTTGTCAGGTTATCTGCTGTTTTCAACCTGCCGCGGAAGATCATCGAGGACCTACGGGCGCCTAAGCCCTCGGGGCCCGAGGCACTAGGCCCCAAAGAAAGCTACAAGCCCCAAGCTTGAAGAAGCTCTCGACTCGAAACCCCAAATCCCAAGCCCCATAACGCCGACATCGATGGCAGCTTCCTGCAAACCTGTTGCGTCCCTTAGAGCCTAGACCCAACCTCTGAACCAAAAAGCCCAAGACCCAAGACATCATTGACTTCACGCCTGGCCTTCCTTGAGGAGCACATGGTTTACGACGGCAGCTTCAACATGCTGTATGCAGGCGCACGCTACGTGGCCATGGCCCAGCGTGGCCGGGGTCTTGCCTCCGTGTCCCCTCGCTACGCTGAGGAGGCACAGCTGCGGCACCAGATGTTCTGGGGCCTCGGGGAGATCAGAGGCATCAACAACCCCAAGGACCATCAACCACCGGGACGCTAAAGCCTAAGCCCGGCTCCCTGAGCCCTGAGCCCTGAACCCTGAGATTTTACATAATCACCCCCAACCAGGAGAAACCCTGAATCTGCAGGACAGGGACCACAGGAACGAGGAGCTGTACAATCAGCATCAGCCGCTGTGGGCGACCAAGCGTGATGCCAAGCGGGCGGCGCAGGAGCGCTTCGGCCTCCGAATCAACGACGACGCACGGCTCCTTGTCTTCCTCGGCCGCTGGGTGAAGCAGAAGGGCGTGGATCTCATCGCCGATTGCGCGGAGTGGATGTTGGCCTCCTACCCCAACCTGCAGCTGCTCATCCTTGGCCCCGAAACCAACGACGACTCCTTCGGAGTCTATGCCCACCAGTGCCTGAAACGCTTGGCCTCCCAGGCAAAGGCCGGCCAGCGCTTCGACGGACGCCTCCACGTCTCTGGGGAGACGCTCTCCTGAGCTAGTAACATCTGATATGGAATATAGAGAAACCTGGTGCAATAAGTAGAGTTTGGAAGTCGGAATCCATCATGCTCTCTCCTGACTTTTTGAAGCATCTTGTTTTTGTTTTTAAGTTTTTTTTTTGTGTGTGTGTGTG